CTACAGTAAATTGTACCAAGACACTTGCCCTAGGGGTAAAAAGAGAGCAATGGGGATGAGATAGATAGATAGATAGATAGATAGATAGATAGATAGATAGATAGATAGATAAAACTGACATCGATAGATAGATAGATAACAAACATATATAGCTAGATAAAATACTGACATAGATAGATAGATAGATAGATAGATAGATAGATAGATAGATAGATATAAACTGACATAGATTGATAGATAGATAAAAACTGACATCGATAGATAGATAGATAACAAACATATATAGCTAGATAAAAATACATAGATAGATAGATAGATAGATAGATAGATAGATAGATAGATAGATAGATATTGCTTTGCCACTGTAAGAGAAAGAATAAAACACTGAAAAGAAAAAAAGAAAACGCATTCGAAGGGAGGAGAGAGAGAGAGAGAAAAAAAAGAAAATGGACTGAAGAGTGAGGAGAGAAAAACCTTTCATCGGGGGGGGAGACACGTGAAAATATTCACTGAAATGGGAAGGGAGAAACAAGAAATTTTCACTGCGAGGGAAGAGAGAAGAAACAAACGAATGCAATGAAGAGAAGAGAATAAGAATACATTGTAGAGTAAAGAAGACAAATGAATTGGTGCAAGAATAGAGAATAGAGTAGAAAATACATTGGAGTCGGAGAAAAAGGATGGATACAGAAATTCATTGGAGAGCGAAAGAGATTCACGTCGAGAGTAAAGAAAAAAAAACATTTATTGAAAGAAGAGAAGTTAAAGAGAAATGGCAGAAAGAAAAAGAGGAAATGTCAAATAACAGAAAAGCTGTTCCCTTTCATTTAGTGAAGGAGGGCTTGAGATTTTAGCACAGTAGTATGATTATGAAGTTCTCCATGATGATCCTGTCGATTCACGATCACTTTCAACATTTTCACAATTGTTCCTACCATTTTACCCATTCTTTTTGATGTGTTTCCTTTCGGTCGATATATTCTAATGACTTTCTCAGACATGTCATTCCTATAGAATGAGAGGCTGTAATTTTTTTTTATCTTCATCATTACCATTTCCCATTAGAAAAACTAACCGACTTCTCTAAAAGCATAGTCTTTTACTTTTATAAACCGGGTATCTTCAGGCGGTAAGTGGTTCTCCACAACTTCTTATAAGTTATAGCTCTAAGGTATGTTTGTCCGTTTACTTTATCTCTTTGTTTATGCTTTCCCGTCCATAGACACAAGCTCACTGTTCCCCTCTTTCTTTCTCACCTTTAGCGTATAGTGTGAGTCCATTCCTATTTTGGTCCAAAGGATTTTTGGTACATTCCTATTTTCTTTGAAACTTAATTGTTGATCACATTACGTCTGTAACATTCTCAGCGTCCTTCTGTAGAACAACATCTCTGTTGTCTCAAATCTCCTCTTCATTTGGGAGGAAATTGTCTAGCATTCATTTCCATATAGAAAGAATGATATTACATAAAACACGAACATTTTTCTTTGTATTGCCACGATTTTTATATTCGAGATTTTTTATTTCCATCGATATTTTTCTCTTTTTTTAATATTTTACTTGGTTCCTGGAAGGCATATTTCGGTATTTTAATGTGTCATCGGATTTTTGTGTCACATTTTCCATAGTCTGTAATAACACTTCCCAGTTTAATTTCGATCTCACTCTCTCGCTTCTTGTGCTGTCCTGCTTGCTAATGAACATATATTACATTTGACGGTTAGTCCTTTCTTCTCGCCTTCCTTCACTACTTTGAACCTTCGATTTTCTTTCAAGTTTCTGTTTCCATGACACATGGCCCAGTGGATAAAGACGTTAGTTAGATCAAGTTGTGTGTTGTGAGTTCAATACGAAGCTACAGCAGTTGTGAAACAAAACCTTGGGGAGTTGAGTTAAAGGGAAATAACTAAGAGGCATGGAACGTGGAACTAGAACAACCTACCCCGATGGACGAAAATAAGGGATTCGGTCCCTAATTTCAGTCGCCTGTTGAGGGTCGGAGCGTACAACGGCAGAAACGTTATGATTATGACAATGAAGATGAGGATAATAGCCCGAATAATGTAAATGACAAATTCTTATCTAGTCCAAGATAGGAAGACACTGCTCACACTAGACTCGAGGAAAAATATCTGAAACCTGTCAGGAAATTAAGCTGCCATTCATTATTAATGAAATTTAGCCTACCTAGAACAATGATGAGTTGATATTAGCGTCCCTTTAACTTTTCAAAACTTTGTAAAGTTCTCTTTCGAGATCGCCATTAGCTACCTTGTATCTTTCTCCTTGATCCCGTCCACAAATTGAAATTTCCCTCTTGAAGTTGATTTTAACTTTAGGAAATCGATAAGTTTCAATGAACAAAAATCTTGACTATATGTGGTTACTGAGATAAAAGGTTGATGCGATATTTTGAAAAAAATGAAAGGAACAAAAAAATGCCCGAGTTGAGAAGAATATGTAGTCGGAATATAGAAAATTGTTGGATAACATTCAGACAATCTGGGAATCTTATGGCTGATTTTAGTTACAACCGGGACGTGTTCAACATTTCCTAATGGATCAATTTAAGCGGATACTCAATTTGAAATGTTGTTATCTAACATTTTCTATGCGCGCTCCTCTTTGAAACAAACTTTTCAAAAGATTTTGTAAAGTAATATTTTGGGATCGCCATCAAATGCTTTTTGTATCATTGAGTTCAATCCTACGGCTTTTATATATTTTTAGAAACGTTTTTAATCATGCGAATCAGAGAAACAACATATTAGCTGATCTATTTGCCTTGGTCATTGTCAACCGCAACTTATTACACAGGCTCCATTAATGGCACCGTAGTGTCGACTGAGTAATCCAATTATAAGATGCTGAAAAGTCAATTTCTAAAATGAAAATCAGTTTAGTGTGGATTTCTTCGTTCATCAAATAAAGGAATAGAAACTGAAGAGGAACCCGATGAATAAACTATGGAATTATTTGTTTCTGTCTGGGTTTTTGTGATGAGAAATTGTCATTATTTATATGATTTACAGACGGACTAATGTCCACATATTCGTTATTATTATTATTATACCGTCTCGACAGGGCCACCACATCAGTGGTCAGCTGACCAGTGGACCAGAAGTAGCCACGTTGAAGCGGCGTGATAATAACAATAAATATGAGGGCATCAGTCAGAATTGTTTGGGCCACATAAATTGTTTGAGCTTATAATTTGATTTGACGAGCATATTTACCATTTTCTTTTATTTTTTTCGGAAGACCCAAGATCGCAGATGCGGAAAATGCCAAACATTTTGGTCACACACACACACACGCACACGCACACACACACACACACACACACACGAATATATATATATATATATATATATATATATATATATATATATATATTTAAACAGAACGCTGATCTGTATAAAATTTCAGTTATCTGTCTGAATTAGTTGGGCTCTTATGTCCATCGTCTTTTGTGTTAAATTGTTATAAGTTATAATGTTAATTATGTTTAAATGAAAATGTCCATGAAGATGGTCTTAAATAGACCGAAACGTCCGACGTCGACTTTATTTTAACATTAATAATGCATATTCAGAATTTTTTTTTTTTTCTGTATTTTTCTTTCATACTGTCGGATTTATATCCATATATTTGCTTACATATATATATATATATATATATATTTATATATATATATATATATATATATATATATATATATATATATATATAGTGTAGACCGATCAAAAAATCAGAATATGCCAAACTTTATGGTTATTTAATGAAAGTTTACTAGTTCCTCAACATATATATATATATATATATATATATATATATATATATTAAGAAATGGACAAAGTCCGAAAATTTATTTATTAAAGACATTTTTATGTTTAACGTTCTTTTTTTTATAGATACAAGTATTTAAGTAAATGCTCTGTTTATAATAAACAGTATTAAATAACATTTACCGGCCTGAATGTCCGAGAAATTTTCATAGAAAATATTCGTCTATAAAAAATCTAAATTTATGTATCTATAAAAAAGAACGTTAAACATAAAATGTTTTTAATAAATATATATATATATATATATATATATATATATATATATGAAATGGAATCTGATGAAAAAAGTTCGAAAAGAAAAGAATATTATTATTAATATTATTATTATGTATGATATATTCTGAGGTCAGTAGACAAAATAAAAATCATGATGAAATCGGATTTTTCGGATCCGCCTGTGTCCTTCTCAACGAAAAATAAGCTGAAGTTGGATATTTTTTTTAACTGTTTGAAACAACGCTTTTATTGCACATTAGGGCAGGTCGATATTTGGTACTGCGGTATTGCACTCAATTTGAAAGTTATGGTTTCAGATGAAAGTTATGGTTTCAGATGAAAGTTATGGTTTCAGATGAAAGTTATGGTTTCAGATGAAAGTTATGGTTTCAGATGAAAGTTATGGTTTCAGATGAAAGTTATGGTTTCAGATGAAAGTTATGGTTTCAGATGAGAAATAATAAAACAAAATATTTTTTTCAAATCCATTACCGTTTTTGAGGAAATGAGTTTGAAGATTAAGTTTAGGTTCAAAATCGTAGCGTTGGAATTTAATCTCAGTTATCAATGAAAGCATTATAAATTTAGAGGCAACTGAAGCTTCACAGATTGTATATGGACAAGATAGAAGTCACAAGCACATTACTACTAAATCATTGGGCCATCAAATAAGAAATTCATTTACTTTAAAGGCAAATTATATTGAACAATTTAGTTATATTACGATGCAACATATACACTGCAGTAGTTTTAGTGTGATTTTCAAAAAACAATGCAAATTTAAAACATTTTGTGTCATAATTTGTGCCCAGTAGTATTATGTTGTTATATACAGTTTTATCTATTTTTTCTTTTCCTTATTTGTGATCTAACAAATCTTATTCATTGAGTAGCCTTTTTTGTCATCTTTTATATTTTTTTACACAGTTTTTGCTTATCGAATACAGTAAAAATTGCATATTTTGCTTGTAGTGATTCATAACTAGAATCGACTTGAATATATTTTCCATTCAATGCATCTAATACAAAAGATACTAACTTTATTTGGATTTATTTTTGAAACAGTAAAATTTTGCAGTCACCAAAAATCTGCGGAAATTAGGTATTTCTGCATATTTTTTTCAGACGATCTTTAAAACAAAATGCTCAAATATTGCTAAAAGTTGTGAATCTAATTCTTGGTGTCACTGTTTATCATATCAAACCCCAGTTTTTGTATCGAGTGCAATGTTAATTTTCTAAAAAAATAAGTGAAAAATCAACCTATTCCACATGCGTAGATCTACTGAAGGATTCGTAGCAATTATTGGAGAGGTGTGTAAGATGATAACTGAAACTTGATTAAAAGTTTTAAAAAACTTGATTAAAACATTAAATTCATTTTGGAAAGTTGATTTTTGTGGAAATTATATTCACTAAGTATGCTTAAATTTCTTCAAAACTAGACTGTAGGATTTTATTAAGACAACCCTCAGAACTCATAACTCCCAAACGATCATTTCAAGGATGACTTTCATGTCTTAAATGAGTCATAAAGACACGCAAGTGACTTACAAGCGATTTTACATTGAGTTACAAGTGAGTCTTCTGAAAGTAAGCTGATTATTTTGAAGTTTAATTTTATGATGCCAAGCAAGTCCACTGGCTGATCTACACACTTTGCTACAAATGCTGCAAGAA